TCAAACAAAAATCCCCCGCGTGGCGGGATGGTGAATGCGCATCGCTGAGGAATCCCATAATAGAACGAAAAAGTCATCTAATGCTTTGAGGTTTTCCATGGTGGTCTAGCTTCAATTGACTCGTGATCTCAACTGTTGCAACAAAATGAAATTCTTAATAGTTAGAAGTAAAACGCATCATTAGTGTTATATTCTATGGTTGTATTACGGTAGAAATATTGTCATAACAAAATTATGTTGATAAATATATAAGATGGTCAGTACTTTGGTAGATTACAATGAATTCTCTATTGAAACTGTTCAGAATAATATCAACCATTAAAATTGTTTCCACTACTGTCAAAATAGTCAACAAACACCTGCCTATTTTTGTGGATTAATCACTAAGAGAATCTCCCAAAGACTTGATGTTTTTGATGAAGTTTTGTTCTCTGAGCTAGATGGTTTGGCTATGAAGCTTTCATCATTCCTCTGAACGACATCATCAGCATAAATTTTAGATAGACGTTTTCTCCATCCACTTGAGTTACAAATTTTCTCTACTGACTCTATGTTTTAAAAGTATAAGTTTAAAAACAGATCATTTTGATGATAAGTGAAATACAGTCGTCACTTTTAAAGTAGATACCTTAAAGTATGTAGTTATTAGCATACTTTAATTAGTTTAAATACACAATTATGTTTTTTTTTCAACTCGGTATTATGTTGCCTTTGTTAATTTCACTTTGCTTCATAAATAATATGAACATTTTTCTAATTACGAATTGAAGTAATCTCATTATTGAGATTTAAATCTGAATTGGTCATCCTCCATTAATATATAGGCTCTTTGAAAACATGTCGTGATACTGCCTAAATGAATAGAGAGATTGATTAATTCAGGTTTCATTAGCAAAATCAGAAATGCTTGTTTTATTTTTGCACTAAATGGTTAACATAATTACTAAGCAGCTAAACAAGTGACAGTCTGATGTTTGTATGCATTAGGGTTATGTTTCTATGAAATAAAAATCTTAAATAGAAAGAAACATTGTTTTTCAAGGTTTCCTGGTAACTACTGTGATAAGGTTACCGTAACTCTATATTAATTAAATTCAAGTTTTCACTGTACTTCAGTTAGTAAATCGTAATTTCGATATGGAAAATGCCATGTTTTCTGATAAGCATAAAATGTATGTTTTTACACAATATTATTCGGTTGTCTAGTTTTTTTTTCTGACCAAAATCACCGTAAAATATCTTCTGAAGGTCACACGAGCGTTTTTATTCATATGTAAATGAACAGAATTAAAGTCACATGGAAAGTATTAAGTTTTTATACTGTATCCTACAATATACATGGCCGACATTCAGTATGTTCAACTTTTGCTGACATTGTCTACAGATCAACTTGTTGTGATATTTTTATTCAAACATAAAATCAGCAAATGTTACATTTTCATTCATTATCAAATTATGTCAATTTCACTTTTTACAAGCTATCACAAATCATAACGTTTGTGATTAAATAAATCCAATTCAACATTAAAATAATTAATTTTTAATAAACCGAATCAAATAAATGAGGAGTCATCTGTTCACTATTGACTGACGTCAAGAAACATTCCTGAAGTTCTAGTGAGAAGCTGTGATCAGTAGAGTTCAATCAGGTCTGCTGTGAGATATCAACTCACTGAAGACAATGATTATGGTGGCGCAATATCGTGGATTGGTTGAAGTTAGACATTAACACCGCTGAATGCCGGCTCAGTGGTCAAATGGTTAAGCGCTTACGCACGAGACTGATAGGTTCTGAGTTCGAATACCGCGAGTGGGGTCGTGAATAAACACTACTAAGGTGTCCCATAACAGGATGATTTAATTGTCCAGTTCTCCGGGGTTTTTCATGATAGTCTAGGTTTAATTGACTTATGAATTCAACTAGAATCATTCATTATTTAATAAAGCACGTAAATTGATCTTCAATTTGTACATAGAATTACTTGAATTATAAATGAAGTGTAAAAATAACAGAAGGCTAGTTCAATGACATATGAAAATTAATTTAATTTAACATTTTTGTTTTTAAAAAAAAATCTGAATTAAAATTAAAAGAAATTGATTTTGAACAAATGTTATAGAGAATTGAACATTTTCATCATTGTACAAATAAGGTAAACCATTTTGAATTGACGTAAATTCAATGTAAAGTAACAATTAAAATGAAATCAATAAATATTAGACATTCATTGGATTTACATGATAATATGCATAGATCATATGAAAGTACTTATGTGTTTGTATTTGTGTAAATATGAATACGTTTAGCAACAAACACTTGTGATATAAATTCATTTAATCTCAATGGTCTAGAGATAAAGTGTTTTCGCGGGAAAGTGAAGCTCTTTTGGTCATGTTCCGAGTACGGGATCATGAATGTGCACTTTTGACGAATTCTATACTAGGATGAAATGGTTGTTTAGTACTTTTAGGTTTTCAGTGTTGGTCTAGCTTAAATTGACTCGTAAATTAAACTTTGAAAATTTTGCAATCTCCATAAATCCCCTAAATTGATAAATAATAATTAACTAAAGCAGCTTGAAATACTGAGATAAGTCCGATTATTTAAAGGATAATTAACTAAATAGATTTTCATCACGATGCATAGTAGTTTATAAGGAAAGATGGAAAGCTGTTAGCGGTGGAATCCAGAATGCGCGTTTCGTCTCATTTGCTACATCTTATTTGAACATCGAATCTAGGATGCATATACATTCAGCTAACGTGTCCCAACTAAGACGAAACATGCGTCCTGGATTCCACTGCTACCCACTCTTCATCATTGTCTATAAAGCTTGTGACTTAAGGCAATATCGAGTCAATCCACACAGGATGGATATATGCTGATAAGAGACTGAATAATTGCAGTCCTAAACATTAATGGAAAGATTTAAGTAAACAATACTAAGTGAATTTATAAAAATATAAAATAAATCTTAATATTCGCATCGGAAATAGTTTTATAGATTCATATCTAATTTCCTATTCTGTACTTTCTCTTTAGATGTATGATCTGAATATATTTGTCAACATATTACAGTTATAATTAATGATTCAGTTTGTAAAGAGTCATTTCCTCTTATAATCATTATGCTAAACTTAACTGTACAATCAAAATTTAAATCGTTTGAACGGAAATAGTGTTATATATATATATATATATATATATATATATATATATATATATATATGCTAACAAGAGACTGATAGGTTACAGTCTTAAACAACAATAGGAAGATATAAGCAAACAACACCAAGTCAATTGAATACATATTAGTTTACTGTGGTTTATATTAGAGAGAATAACAAATGCAGTCGGTTGATGTTTATTACAAATATGAGATATTAATTAGTAAAATTTAATTGAATATTCTTCATACATTTGTAATTTCCCCCTCATCTATGTAACATACAGTCATATTTTTGAAACACACGAGTTTATAGATAGTCACTTCTAAATTTAGGCGGTATAGACATTTTTACGTAATGAAATGAGCAATGGCTCATATGAAACTAAAATATAGAACTAAATCATAATAAGACGATATTCTACATCTATATGTCTCAACATTCCTACTTCATACTTCATTCCCTTTTTTTGAAGTACCATTGAAAGTTTATAGCCATTATTTATAATCTAACTGATGTTGATAAAGTCCTTTTCTTCAGTTGTAACGACCAAAGAATAATTAAGACAATACTATTAAACGAAGAATTAGGTGAGACAATAATTTATGGACGAACCAATCAGATATTAGATAACAGGTTTAGAATTTTGGCTCGAAATTCACTCAACCATTTCACTAAATAGAGTTTTGGCATTATAATTGATATCAATTCATGATAAAAACCTTAAATCTAATTCCTAAAATTAACCATCAACTGTAAACCATCATTCAAATTCCTCATACTAATTTATAACCTTCATTTAATCCTAGTTATCAGGTGAACACTTTCAAAGTCAGTCTAGCCTTGCTTAAATGTCGTCCATAAATTACAGTCTCACCGATTACTATAATGAACTCGATCGTTCTGTAATACATTCAAAGTATATAACTAATTTTTTCTGACATTACACATATCCTAGACAACATAAATGTACTTAAACTGATGTCTTTCACAACAACAACAACAAAAATTTAACAACAGTTTTCTCCATTGTACACCCTTTCAATATTCATTGTTTATACTTAAATGTCAAATTAGGAAGAAAAAAAAAGAAGAAAGGTGAAAAAAAGAACAACTGAATGTCATATTTTTTGTTGTTGTTTTAAAATGTCAAATATTTAAAAATGTCAACATTTTTGTATTGAATGGACAGTAGCTTAATTTTTCGTATATGGTTATATATATATATATATATATATATATATATATATATATAAGTAGTTATATACTACTGAAATAGAAATTTATTCAATAGAATGTTAAAGAACTAAAAATAAAAATACAAAAACGGATTGTAATTTACAATCACTACAAAATATAAACTAAAAAAAAACAAAAAAAAATAAAAAAACAAAAAAATTTTAAAAAACAAAAAAAATTAAAAAAACAAAAATTTTAAAAAATAGTGTCGTTTTTCGTGACAATACAATCATAATGACACTGAATATATTGAAAATTTATACAAATAAATATCCATTATAAATTGAAGAAATGACCATAACCTAAATGATGATCATTAAAAGTAAAGTAAATAAAATGATGGAATATCACCCAGTTACTATTATGAATATTATTGATAAAATATTATTATAGTGAAAAGATTTAATTTTTATTTATTTATTTATTTGTCTATTTTTTTTAAATGTATGACATTTGAAATGATACTTTTTAAAAAAAAATAGTGAATAGTCTGTATGTTAAAACAGAAAAAAAATTCAGTCAAAGGGTTGACAACCTAAATCACAATTCATACTTCAGATAAATATCAAATATATATATATATATATATATATATATATATATATATATATATATTATAATACGGTTTAATAGGTTGGAATAAACCTAATTTCAGGAAGGGTTATTGTGGATATTATAGTAATTTTAATGGTTGAGATCATAAATTAATTGAAGTTAGACCATCATGAAAAACCTGAAATCACTGAACGACCAAATCGTTCTGCTAGAGAACTCCTTAGTAGTGCGTATATATAATGGTATAGAAGTTAGGCATTCATAAGGCTCTAGATTGTAATCCGACGAGGTGTCTCATACTAGGACAAAATGGCCATCCAGTGCTTCCAGGTATTTTTATGATGGTCTAACATCAATCGATTCATGATCTCAATCAAAAACACAATAATCTCTGCAACACTATACTGAAAATCATTTACAGGAGGGAGAAGTGCATTCCAAACATTTTTCGCATTTATGCTCAGTCCTACCAGAAAAAGCCTCCGAGTTTTATCAACGTCTTCAACAAACAGGACTTTATCATCTGCGTATTCTAACTCGATAAGTTAAACATGGTTAAACATAGAAAAATCATTCAGCATGTGTGTATAAACACCAAATACCATTGTCATAAATGTATATGAAAATCAATGAAGAAAACATTTCACAATTGTATGTATCTTCTCCTTTTACAGAATAAATAATTAGCTTCATATATAATTCAAATATAATAGAAAAGAACTATTCATAGTAATGCTAATTATAGATTATATTCATCGAATTAATTCAGCGGTAGTAACTTGATAGTAAACTATGAAAGTATATATAAATAATTTATTTATGTATTTATTATTAATATGAGAATGTGTTTTGTGGATACGATAGTAATTTCAATGGTTGAGATCATGAGTGAATTAAAGCTAGACCATTATGGAAAACCCGAAAGCATTGGAAAGTTGATTTGTCTTATTGTGAGACTTCTCATTAGTGAGCATCCACGATCCTGCCTCGCGAGATTTTAACCCATGTCCTATCAGTTTCGCGCGCGAACGCTTAATCATTAGACCACTGAGTCAGCGTCTAACTTCAACTACTCCACGAAATTGAGGGACATATCCACCATTGTCATCTCACAACAGACATGACTGAATTTCGCTGGTCACTACTTCTCAGTGCTTTAAGGTTTTCCATGGTGGTCTAGCTTGAATTGACTCATGATCTCAACTATTAAAAATAAACTGAATTGTTAGATAAGTATTATATTAAAGAATACTTATTTTATTGTGTTTATTGAAAATCAGTTTGTGAGTTTAAATTCATTTGATAATGTTTTATTCGAATCTTCCCACTGATGTTTTTGACTATAATTGATCAGTCTTTTATTAGCATATATGCATACTATGCCTATTCCCTCGATATTACCTTAATTTACAAGTATTATAAGCAAAGATGGATAGTGACTAGTAGTGGCTATCAGTACTGAGTAGCTAAGTGGATAACGCACTAATATGTCCCAAATAGGAAGAAACGACCATCCTCGATTCCGCTGCTAGTCACTATCCATCTATGCTAATAAAGTTTGTGTGTTTGGTTGTGAATATGAGATTTACCAAGTCAGATTTGTGTATTCAATAAATTTATAATAAATAGCCTATCTTTTTTACCAACATATACTAACTGATGAGTTGTCTGTTATTACTGAGGAGTACTGGATAGTTACTTAGTTTTGGTTTCATACTTGGTGACTTATATATCACAAGTTATTCCAGACTTTTAAATCAAATTGAGAAAATTTTATCGTGAATAGGAACGAATTAAAGTATATGAATGATAATTAATGTATTATTAAAATCTCAATGTTTTCACTATGAACTAAATTCTCGACTTCATAAAATTTCAATTTGAAGGTAACATCTATTAGATATGTAATGTTGACATGAACTGGCTTATACACTAAGCGAAATTATAAGATTCGCTATCAGAATAAATATGGGTCAGATAAGGTGAGAGAAATAATAGTGCATTTAAAAATTCCATCCTATTGAAGATGCTACAGGTATTCGGAGTTTGACAACGCTTTAACCAGTAACATCTTCTAATATAAAGCGTACCCACCAAGTGAAATCAAAAGACAGAAGCGAGGAGGTTCGAAGATATATTTGATAGGCTATCAATATATATCGAGGATCGTCTGATCTAATCTGGCTAGCGATTGTAGTAGATGTTGAGCACGGCGTTCCCAAACGTGATCTGGTGCGGATGCTTGACCGAGCGCCTTCAGCTAGATGAGTAGTCCATTAAAACTAATGTGGTCAGCATCCAGTGTCGAAAACTTACAGAGCTATTTATTTTGGGAATTTATTTACCGCTACACTATATTCGAGTATACAAAGTTACATGATAAACTACATCCATATGGAGAATTAATACAAGTATTATTAGTGAAAATCTATATATATATAAAACTTGATCATGAATTACTGTAGTTGAAAAGAATACAAGACCTATTTTGTGTTTTTGAAATATTTATCTGTATCTATCAATTCAACTACACCTGTGAAGTAAGTTATATTGGCAAATGTTCTAGGAATTTGTACATTCAAACTCATGAGCACCTTTCAGTATGGTTAAGCAAAAGTTTAGTCAAAATGATTAACAGCTCCATTTTAACCCATTTAATTCAGATAGGATATACAGTAAATATAAAACAATCTTTCATAAAAAATATTTATCTTTCTACTTGATCTCAATTTATCGAACAAGATGATTTAAACAGACAAACCGAATGTGTTTATTGACGGATTATGTAATTTCTAAAATAGATTATAATGTTTCCCTCCCCCCCCCTCTGATATTCCTATTCCTTATTGTATTATAACAATTTACTTATCATTATTATGTAATTCAATATTAGTGAAAATTAATTTTAATAACTTAACTTAATTTTTTCTAATATTTTATTTCAGTCATAAAAAAATGTTTATCCATTAATTAATCCCAATACCACACACACACACACACACACACCAAAAGAGGGAGAGGGAGAGAGAGAGCGAGAGAGAGAGTAAGGAGAGAAAGAGAGATTATTACAAATAATTCACTTACCAAATTTATAATGCAACGAATAATTTGGATTGATTTTTATCAATCTATTTATAAATCATTTATCTTAACTATTCTATTTACAATTTATTTAAATCAATTCATCTATCATATTCATGCTCAAACTACACGGATTATACGTATTAAAGAGAATATACCAATTGGTACTGTAATTATACCAAATTTAATTCATTTTTTATATGGAAAAAATTATTCACCAATAGAACAATATGAATATAATAAAAAAGATAAAAATATTGATTATTTATTAGCTATTGGTAATTCAGTTATGCAAGGTGCTAATTGGTTTGCTATTGATAATAAAAAATATAGTTTATATGTAAAAATATCACCAGATCGTGATATATTATGTCCAAATAATCAAAAATTACCAGAAACTGCTGTATCTATTACAAATGGTGGAATTGAATTTCCAGAATATAATTTAAATCCAGGATCAAATTATAATTTACAAATGAATAATAATAATAATCATAATAATATTAATAATAATCATAATAATAATCATAATATTGATAATAATGATTGTATAATTAAATTATCAATTATACATGGTTCATCAGCAAATCCTTCATTTGATTTGATTACAATTATTTTAGAAGATATAAATGATCATACACCAAGTTTTAAAGAGATTCAAACTTATTTAGATAGTAAAACAAATGAATTTATAATTAGTGTACCAGAAACACCAACATTTATTGATAAAAAAGATGATATATTAAATATTAAACATAGAACTGATTATAAACCAATAAGAATTTTATTACCAACAGCTATAGATCCAGATCAAGGAGTAAATAGTATTAAAGGTTATCGATTAGAAGGTGAAGATGCATATTATTTTCGACTTGAAATAGGTCCATTAATAAATAATGATATAAATTATCAAATTCATAAAGAATTTCAACAAGTTGGATTATTTCAAGATCATAAATCTAATCGATTATGGTTAGTACCAATTAGAAATAATGGTGGAATAACAGATATTATAAATAATGGTGAATTAGATAAAGAACAAAAAAGTGATTATCATTTTATTTTAGTTGCATATGATGGTGGATCACCATCAAGAATAGGTAAACTTCCTATACATTTAATTATTGAAGATATTAATGATCATTCACCAGAATTTAATCAAGAATTTTATATAGGAAAAATATCAGAAAATGATCCTGGTGGTCATATTATTTTTGAATTTTCTGCTAGAGATAAAGATAATACAAAAGAGAATGGTCTAATCAAATTTCGTATACCAGGTCAAATTGATCAAAATTCAAATTTAAATGATATTAATGGTCAAAGAGATAGACATAGTTTAACAGATAGTCAATTAATTGCTGCAGAATTATTTTCTATAGAATATCCATATGATAAATCAAATGATATAATAAATATACAAGAAAATTTTTATAATAGTACTGTTTATGGTCGACTTATTATTAAACGTCAATCAAAAGATAAAATTCAACAAGCTACATCTAAAGCTATTAAAATAGCACGACATAATCAAATGATGATCGGATCAAAATTAGGATCTAATATTCCATTAAATCATCAATTCAATAATAATAATAATAATAATGATATATCATCTAATAATAATAATAATAACAATGATCAACTACATTTTTTTATAGAAGCATATGATAATGGTTTAACTCCATTAGTAACTAAAGTACCTGTAATTATTCATATTATTGATGTTAATGATCATCCACCAGAAATTTTTATATCATATCTTAAACCAACACAATCAATTAATCAATTAAATTTATATAATAAAGATAGACGACAAATATGGGGTAAAATAATAGAAAATTTAGAAAGATCAATGATAGCACAAATAACTGTTATTGATAAAGATTCAATTTATACCCAATCAGATATTATTTGTAAAACAAATGATAGTCGATTTTTATTAGAAGAAATCAATAATCATATAGATCGATTAAATGATTTATCATTATTATATTGGCCTAGAAACAATATTGATTTAAAATCAAATTTTATTGAATGGAATAATCAAAATAAACCATTAACAAAAATGTATAAATTAATGTCAATATCATCATTAGATAGAGAATATAATAATAATAATAATAATAATAATATACAATCATCATTTATAAAATTTTCAATTATTTGTATTGATAATCAACATAATGAATTACCTGGTGGTTCATTAACATCACAAGCAGATATAATTCTTGAAATAGAAGATACAAATGATAATTCACCTATATTTGATCATAATGAATATACATTTCATTTACCAGAAAATTATCCTAAAATAAAATTAGAACATAGTATTAATCTATCTGAAATGGAACGATATCCAATTGGTATAGTACATGCAAATGATAAAGATGAAGGAATTCATGGAAGTGTTAATTATAAATTAATCTCTAATCCAACTGGTTCAATACAAATAGATAAATATAGTGGAATGCTTTATGCTATTCAACCATTTGATCGTGAAACTATAAATGAATTAGTATTTCAGGTATATGCAATAGATTGTATATCATCAAATGGAACTAATGATCAACAATGTGATGAGTCATTGAGATTAACAGGAACTGCTAATGTTCGTATAATTATTGATGATCTAAATGATTCTCCTCCTGTTTTTCAAGAAACTAACTATCATTTTGAAGTTGAAGAAGGATTAGATCTTGTTAAAGTTGGACAAGTTTGGGCTTTGGATGCTGATCAAGAGGAAGCTGCACGTATTTCCTATCGTCTAGCAGTTGGAATTAATAATCGAATTAAAGAACCAATAAATGATGGAAATTTTGCAGAACAAGTTACAAAATCCTCTAATAATCAGAATCTTTACGATGAAGCACTTGAGATTACCACTCATTTTCAAATTGATCCAAGAAGTGGGATTATTCACTTAAAGGGAAGGTTAGATCGTGAAAGACGAGCACACTATGAATTCGTGGTTCTAGCGTTGGATAATCCTAGATCCATACCGACTAAAATAGCTGGATATCAAAGACAAACAACAAATGAAGTTATTCAGTTCACAGCAACAGCAACAGTTCTAATAACTGTGTTAGACCACAATGATAATGCACCTAGAATACTCAGTCCATTGAATCATGTAGAGTTTATGCTAAGCCCAGATCAGCTAATTGCTGGAAATACGATATTTACAATACGTGCGACTGATCCAGATTTAGGTGAAAATGGTACAATTGAATACAAATTACTTCAGGTAGAAGATGACCTAGGTTCATGGAATTTTGCAGAATCTGTTCAAAGAAATAGTCAAGTAAATCATAGAAATACTACAGATACGAATTCACAAATGAACCAAGAAAGTAAATCTTCAAATGTTGACTATCCATTTGCTGTAGATCGAACTGCAGGCATTTGCTATCTTCGAGAGAACTTACCACCGTTAAATGTTGATGGTCCTAGAGCTTATATGCTACGTATATTAGCCTATGATTTGGGAAAACCTGATAGTTTAAACACAACTCTAGTTATTCGTGTAGCTCGTCAAGTAGGAACAAATGTAGATATGTCAAATGGAATATTATACTCAAATCGAATTAATACTAAAGAATACCGACAGACTGGAAGAATAGAAACACAACAATATTTATTCCCATCAAATGATCATGATTCTGAATCAGATGTTAAAGTTGGAACATGGACATCAGCAGGACATGCAAGAATATCTGATAAAACAATGGTTGTTATTTTATCAACTGTATTTGTTTTACTATTGCTTACAACAATTGTTCTCCTACTACTTGTACGCTATAGACGTCTATTAATAAGAAATATTCCATTAGAACAAAGTTTAGCATGTGATGGTCCGGATTCAAAAGCAAATGAAGGTTTTGCTGTGGGTAAGCTCAATTAATTTATTGAATTTTTCTTAACTAACATATAACAACTTTGTGAGTGTTGGTTGCACAAAAAATCCAGTTCCATATATATAACTTGAAATATTGATCTCCTAAGATCATAATAGTTCAATAAATAATGGATATATTTGTCAGATCTAGACTCAAAACACATTATAGTCTAGTTGATTGACCACTCAGTGGAAACCACTGTCATGTTAGATCAATATATGTGGTTGAATATAGTTTTCAGGAAGCTATAGATCAAAGTTTTATGTTAGTTGAAAACAATAATATAAAGCTAATTCATGTATAAGACAATCATTTTACTCACCATGAACATGTGAGGCATTATTTTTTTCAGTTACAACTAATTCTTTGTACCATTTTTCACTTATATCCAATTAAGTCAAAACAACAAACATTACTTCTACTCTCCAATAACACACAGGACTAATTCTTATGTTAGGTACTTGCTAAGTACATAATTCAATAATGGCAATAGGTGAGTGATACTAACTTATTTATCTAACACTAGTAAGCTTTTCAAAAATGTTGCTTTTTAATGATAGTTTGCCCAATAAACACACAAACAGTGGCCATAAGACCATACTATACAGAATACTTCTCTTTAAAATAATCCCAACTTGCAGTAATACACTTACAATCGTTTGCATTGTTATGAACAACACGGATAGCCTCCTTGAGGTGAGGCCTATCAGCTGCATCGTCGTTTTCAAAATAAGATGTATTGGTGAAACAATATAAACAAACGGTGTTTTTTCAAACTCATTTCCATAGCAGTTACCCAAAAATAAATTAGCAAATGATAATCATAGGATGACTCACGTCATCTATTTTTTGATGAGCACTGAAGTTTAACAGTTATCTTGAAATTACATAATTTTGAATTTTTTCATGGCCTTCAATGAAACGCTTGATGTATTCTAAAAGGAGTTCTTTTCATCAATGCGTCATCTTCATGAACGGTTTTCAGTGCTTCATAGATTTCGTTTGTTTATTTGTTTTCGTAATTATCAACACTAGTACCTCACTTTGTGTATTTATGGAACTAACAAGGTGCAAATAAGTCATGATATACGTTATAGAAAACTATTGAGTAATACATTATTACTTGATATTATGCTTCATTAGAAACTAAAATCAGGGTAACATACATTTCTTAATTATCTAAAATAATTAGAATACAGGGGTTTATGGAGTTTATCCAATTACCATAGTATGACAACAACTGAACCACAATAGAAAACTATAAAGCATTGAGCAGCTGTTTCGTCTTAGTATGAAACTCCAAAAAAATGCTCATTCACAACTCAAACGGGACATGAACCTAGGATCATCAGTCTAGCGCACAAACACTTAACCTTTAGACTACTAAGCCGGCATTTAACGGTGCATATGTCTCGATTCTTAGTATCGTGTAAATCGATTTTCGATTGTCTGTAGTAAGTAACTATCTCAGATTTGATACAGTTGGACTTCAGTAGTCACGGCTTCTGACAGTCTGAAATACTTCGTAATTTTCAATGTTGATCTAACTAATATGAATTCATAATGTAAACTACCTTCAAAATAAATTTTGAAATATTCTAGTTTAAATGTATGAATTTATTAAGTGATCAAATATTAGAAATGATCATAGTGATTACACGGTGCACTTAAAGTGTGCAAAAGAAACAATAAAATTATCTTAACAAAAACTATTTAGTTGCCCGGGATCTGACTCCAAGTAGATCGTATTAATCATTGCTGTTGAAATATATATGTCGCCTATCCTCGTATACAATTATCGACTTAAATCGCGTTAGTCAAATACGAGATTGAATTTCAAATACGTATATTTCATACAATCTTTAATCCAGACAAAATATCGGAGAAGCTAATGGAATAGAGCAAAGCGATACGACCCGCAGTGAAGATGGCGGGTAAGGTAACTCCATTTAGTCAACCGTTAATCAATATTTATAGTCACACAAAAACAAGTTACAGACATGTGATAAGTAGTGGGATAAGAAATGTACGCACACGTATGCGCTCATATAAAAACAGTCAAGATTGATAATTAACAAGGTCAAAATGTGACTCAAGTAAAATGGATAGATTGGCCTGTCCGAAAGCTACAATAAGGTATATAGGTTTAACATAATAACCGACACTATAACTACTTCAATTTCATGTTGCTAACACAAAGTATCAGGTAAGAAGAGAAACCACAAAATATTTGTCTTAATTATGTGAGAAAAAAAGAGCATATCAAAAACCTTTATGATGAATTGAACGAAGAGAAAAAAAGGAAAAGAAAACTGAAATCAAAGAAACAATTCAATTAGCCTGTAAAATGTAAGTGAATTTAAAAGGCTAATGTTAGCAACCGAATACAGTGGTGAATTAAAAGTCGAATAAAGAATCAAATGAAGATTTGAATCAATTAATAAGATTCAAGCACATTTATATAAGAAAGCGAATGATTCATCAAGCTATTTAAGCAACTAACATTTAAACTAGGAAAAAGGGATATGTGCGTAGGCTGTCACGTGCGATCAAACCTACATGTTCATACTGAACATGATAATAATAACAAGGTATAGGATGGTTATTGTCTGTTAAATAAGTTAATTGGATGGCTTGACAAAATTAAATGTAAACAAACTTAAGTGTAAGATAGGTGAAATAAGTTTAATGTTTGACACTAAAATGAAACGAGTGAATAGTGTTTTCCATATTTCTCACTTTCAAACAACAACTGTACGTTTACCCATTTAACAGAACATTTGAAATTATATCTACTACTTAATAATATATCTTAATAGTTGAATTCATGATTCAATCTAAGCTAGATCACCATGGGAAACCTGGAAGCACTGGACGGCCATTTCATCCTAGTAGGGGACTCCTCAGCAGTACACATCCACGATCCCGCACATGGGACACAAACCCGGTACCTTCAGTCTGATGCGCGAACGTTTAACCTCTAGACCACTGAACCAGTTGGCATCCAACGATGTTAATGTACAACTTCAATTGATCCATGATCTTGTTCAACGCTTCATCCACTCTCTGAGGAGGATAACTGTCTTAAACCCTACACGGATTGTACTCCACTGTTAACAGATTCCCATTAGACCTCCAGGAAATCCATCTTGAAACAAGTCACTAGTGAGCACGTGATGATTCTTATCATAATGAGGGTTTGTGGAGATTGTATGAAACCCCATTCTAATAATAATGTTACATTGATGATATGAACCTTATGGCAGATAATATGGGTACGATAACAAAATGTTATATGCTATTTAAAGAGATTTAAATAAACTCAAAAACTAACCTCCTGATAACATAATTATAATAATTAACTCCTTTTTCAGTTGATGTTGTTTTTATGTCTCTTCAAATGAACAATGTGTGAATGTCAAAACCGGTTTCATTACTAACTTATATACTATACTTGTATTGTATATCTTTTGACCCTGAGAAATAGTAACAAATTGTTTATCGACCAATATTATATTTCCGAGTTGGATGTGTTCCCCTCATTTACACTTTTTCGTTTAGTAAATCAACACTCATAAATGAAATTATGGTTAATGTATAGCTCACTTTTACTCATTCTAAGCTTAGCATCAGCTTAACGAGAAAATTGTAGACAGTTAAAATTTAAAATCTTAATAGAATAACTCGAATACTATTTTGACTAATAATTGTAACTGTTATAACGCTCAGTATTACTTCGTCTAATGTTATAACGCTTAAACGATTATCTACACTAGATCCCTCCCAGTGTCTATTCCACAGGACTTCAACCCAGATCAAGAACACGTACTTAGCCTGACCACAACGTGAATATATTTCCACACCAAAAACCGACACAATCCACAATAATGAACAATCAATAATAAGTGCCAGTCCCAATAATAAAGATAAGGAAATATATAACTTATCTGACACCTGTCAGACTGTCTACATGTCTGACTAAGCAGACAACCAATCATGATCGTTCTCGCCCACATATCAGTAACAAACCTAGTTCAATTTTCTAGTCCCTACTACTCAATGTAAACAACACACTATCAGTGATCAAATCAATATATCAGCAATCAAATTTTATGTAAAAATCAATTAAAGCAGCAATAGTTATATCCGCTTTTAATTTCAGTTGGTTATTTAGTGGCTCGAGATGTCATTCCCAATCGGGCGACCGAAATGAATAAGTTATGAACATAAATCTTCCTCTTAATCTCATCTATTACACCTAGACGGTGTCAATAAAATGCTAAATATGGATTAGGTTAGTTGAGCTTATTTCATACACTTGTTTACTTAGACAGATATTAAAATGAAGATCGGGAAAGCAAAGCGGAGAAGGTAAGTTTACCTAGCCCATTTGACAAAGCATGACTTATTATTGTAGTCAGGTAGAAATTAAGCTAAAGAGATGTGATGAATGGTGTAATTGATACACACATATACGTTCACATAAAAACATTCAAAGTAATAAGCGAATGATCGATAAGGCCAAAATATGTGGATTGTAGCTCAAGAAGAATAAATTAACTAGCCAGTCTAAAAGCCAGAATAACATGTGTAGGCATGACATTGTAGTAGGCCCTACAGTTATGTTAACTTATCATTTAGTTTAGGTAACTTTAACAAAGACAAGAAAAGTTTAAAATGTAAAATCCATTTTTAGAACTAATATTATTATTATTATTACAATGTTTGGTAGTTGTTATGGTGCTTTATTAGAAACGTTTCTAACATGATAAAACTTAAAAATCTGACCAAATAATGGGAAAGATCTAATTAAAAGCATTATTTTCATTATTGATTAATGAAAATCATGCATATTATATTTAATCATTATCAAATAACTAATGTAACTGACAAGGATCAATTTGTATTCGTAGAAATGTAATTTTTCCCCTCCTCCTCCTCCTCCTCCTCCTCCTCCCCTACCCCTCTCATCCATATTTAATTACTTGAAATGTGATCTATGGGAAGCATAGGTTAGATTTAAACAAAATCCAGTATATTCAAATAGATAATTACCAATATGTTTACAAAATATCATAAATGACAGCAAACAATTTTTGCAATTTGTATACAGATCATTATTTTCATTCCCACAATAATGAATTCGTTGGAATTGTTTCTTTGTATAAACAAGATATATTCAAAGTGATCTATGTATAGTGTTCTTTATGTCCCATAATAATTACAATAAAATACCAAATGTAGTTGTTGTTGGTTTTTTGTTTTGTGGAAAACTGATGGATCACAACTTGATCCCTTGAAAAAATGGAACAAATCAAGTTTGAAGACTAAAATGAGATTAGTCTGTTTTTTTTTCAAGGCTTTTCATCAGTTACAGATAGCCACAAATTAATGACATACAATATGACGAAATAGCCGTCCAGTGCTTCCAGGTTTTTTATGGTGGTCTAGCTTCATTTGTCTCATGATCTCAACCATTAAATTACTATATTATCTACAAAACTCCTTCCTGATATTCAGTCTTAAGTCAGTCAGCTACAACGTAGGACCAGGCACATATGTGCATTGGTCCAAGTTGCTATATCTCATTAGCACAGCAAGATGAACACCGGATTTATAGGAGTGGTTAATTCAATGGTGGTAATATATAAAAGAAAGATTGCATAGTATATAGTACAAGAAGAAAGAATTAATTTGTAGAAACAAAGATATAAAGCAACTTTAGTCTCACAGTTTAAGGAAAGATAGATAGCTACGACATTGTGATCGATTCTCAGCCATGTCACCAAGAGTCTCCAACCATTCGTTACAATAGTCACACGGACCCCAACTAAGTAGTCTGAATCTACCAACATGGCTCAGACTAGAAGCATGTGACTTCAAGCACTGATGCCACGTTTTGGTTTGGCTTCTCCTCACTTTCTTCCAACCACTCTCAACACCGTTAGCATTGTGTGTCGTGGTAATCGGTATTCAGGCATACACAACACGTGACTCAACAATATCAGTTGATCAAGATTCACAACCTCATCAACTGATTTACCATCATTCCCTAATACTCTGCGTCTAACCTCACTATTACTTACCTGATGATCCCAGCAGATACGACCAAGCTTTCTAAGACATCTCTGGTCAAATACTAGTAGCTTACGAATATCTTCTACTCTGGTATTAATGTAATCAAATTTTTAAAAAAAACAAAGGTTTGTCATAATTTTATGAATAAAGTTAAGATGGATGTTCAAAATAAAACCAAAAATCTTAATAAGAAGAACAAGACGTATAATATTTGATTAAACACAATTAAGACTGACGTGTATTTACATGTTAGAAATATTCTATAATGCAGAGTAGAATAGGTTAAGTTATAGTTATTAGAAATAATAATAAAGAGACATTAGAATTATTTAATCCTAGCGAAAATAACAAATCATTTCATAACTACCCGACATGATTAAAACTTAAAACATATTGACAGAATTACGTAAGAGATGAAAATGAAGTATAAATGAAATTGGTTGCTTTTTAGTGGTTTTGGGTTTTTATACTTCACCATTTATCACATGCCTGAAGATTATAAAAGTAAAGATTTTACTAATTTTTAAACATAGGTCTTCTAGAAAGGGTTCAGAAGATCTAACAGGAAAATTCCTTCTAGTCCTAATCCTGATTATTAACACAAATACGTATAAATTCATAAATCTAAGTGAGTGACAACAGAAGGTGTCGCTTAGAGTACAGTCATTCCCAAGAATGTGAAGTGTAAATCGTCACTGAACATATTCCAACCTTAATTTATCCTTTGTACAAGCACTACCAAGAATAAAAGTACTGTATTCTAAGAGTGTTTGGGCATGTACTTTTTATATTTAAAATAAATGAACCATTGTAATGATGGTTACGAAGTATACAACTTAAAAGTCCTTGAGAATTGTAAGTTTGTTTGCAAACCTGTTCTGAAAAGAAGTTGTGGAAATACTTGAATCAAAAGTCCATCATTGTGTGGTGTGTGCTACATATGTAGACATAAGTAGTATATGACGTGAGTCATGAATAGAATGTCTGGCAGCAGAGAGACGAAAAGATCGAACAACAAAGAATAAAGAAAGAATGCAATTTGTATGAAAATGCAAGAACAAAGGAATTCTGAGTCATTTGAGACAATTGATGAACAATTTGCAAATTGAACATTTAATATACGGTTGTTAGATTTTACTAACTAGTTCTGTAATTCGATTATCCTCATTGTGTTCGCGTTCACTACAATTGTATGAAACTTAGATAACACCCTACTATTTATAGTAAAGTTTAAATTAAGAAGAGGACTACAAAAGTAAATCCGTTCATATTTCATCCCGAATTCCTATCTTTTCTTCTCTATTAACAGGTAAACCAATGAGTCCAACTCAAAATAATTTGAATGGTTTCAACGGGTTTTTCACCGAGGTAAGTTTAAATCTTACATATATATATATATATATATATATATATATATATATATATATATATATATATATATAGAGAGAGAGAGAGAGAGAGAGACAGGTATCTACCTCAGTACAATATATATATATATATATATATATATATATATATATATATATATATATATATATATATTTGTGCTATCATTAATTACAATGATGAAAATGCTGCCTCAAACGAACTGGCTTAACGATTTGTCCAAAAATGAAATACAGGTCAACAATGTTTTCTTTTCGAAAATCAATAGTTCATGGATGTTTTCATTTCTTAATTCAAAAGATTCAAGTTAATGAATTTCATATAACTAATGAGGTCATTTGAAAACACTATTCAATAATACATTGCCCCGGTAATAATGACAATGATAGTAATACAAATGATTCGGCATCAGTTGAATAATTTTGTTTGAATTATGGAATGCTTAGGATAAAGTGAGCTAATATAAAACAAGAGACAGTCTCAGTTAATCACTTTCATATAATTTGAAGCAATTAGATTAGTTTATAAACAGAAAAGTTTGATGGTTAGATGGATAGTGGTTAACAGTGGGATTCAGGACGCTCGTTTCATCCTATTTGAGACTCGTCAGCTGGATGTGCTCAAATGGGATGAAACGCGCATCTTGAATTTTGATGCTAGCCATCATCCATCTCTGTCTAGAACGCTTGTGATGTATTGAAAATATCGAAGCAGTCCTCATGAGATACACACATGTCAAAAAGAGACTAATCAATTGCAGTCCTAAACATCAATGGAAAGATTCAGATAATCAATACAAATGAATTACATTAGTTAGTCGAAATAGGATCTAAAAAATGACTAAACTGTGCAAATTGTTGACAATAGTGAAATTACTTACTTACTTACGCCTGTTACAATAGTGAAATAATGTAAACTATTTAACTTTGTATCACTTCCGTTGACTAATTACGTTAGTAAAACGTAGAAATAAATGGTCAATTATGAGTTGAATTTTAGACATATATGTATATCAGAAACTTGAATGAGAGTACAAAATTAATGAGTAAATATGAAAAGCCAATAGACGTAGATAGAAGGAGCTGTAAAAAGCTAATTATTAGTAGGTAGCTTACTCTTTATACAAAGTGAATAGTATGGGAATTATAAATAATTAATTAGAGTGTAAATGTTAAGAATACACTCGGTGAGCAAAACTAAAATATCTTCGAAGTTGGTAGTGCATAATCAATAGGAGCACATGTATGAAAATAGGCAAAGAATATTGTAGATAAACAGTTATAGACATACATTCACATAACATAAATAATAAGTAACATCAATCAATTCATGATCTCAATCAGGTATCTACCTCAGTACAATGGAAGATGGTCGCACAGTTTCATGGATTGGTTGGTGTTCGACACTAACACCATTGGATGCCGGCTCAGTGGTCCAATAGGTTAAGCGTTCGCGCGCAAGACTGATGGCTCTGGGTTCGAATCCCGAGAGCGGGATCGTGGATGCGCACCGCTGAGGAGTTCCACAGTGAGACGAAACGGCCATCCAGTGATTCCAGGTTTCCAATGGTAGCCTAACATCAATCGGTTCATAATTTCCACAATCCCTATACTAATATATTTATAATCAAACATGACTAGTCTGTCATGATAATTCATGATCCAATTGAAAATTTAACTAAGTGATTAACACTCAAGTTTAAATAAATCATTATAAATTAAGCTACCAGGGTTCCATTAAGTGATTCAGTATGCACTTCGTAGTAATTATTATAATCACTAAGCCACATTATATTAATATTAAATATGATCATTTCTGCAGAACCGTAAATCTTACTGAGCTGCATAGCTATCAATAGTCAAAAATTGATCTACGACAGTAAATTGATATTATTTGGTAATAATACAATTTCAGCCAATATAATAAAGTACAAGTAGAATATGTTTGAACAAACGAATAATGCTTCCATTCTGATCATTTAGACTATCCACCCCCCCATTATGAATTTGTGCATGAAGTACTGCTGGCTAACACCCTCATATATTTCTGTCTAACCATACTATTTTCTTTTATAAATAAATGATCAATTCACAATTGAAATAGATATAAACACTTACTTATAAGTATGGTTCATTTTAGACTATACAAATAAGACCATATTTCATCTGAAATACCAAACTATTATTTCAGACGAAAAGACTTGAAATGTAGATCACTTGTTATAGGCATTCATATTTCAAGTAAATAAGCATTATGCTTAAAAAAAACTGATATTTCCTTTGTGCTTGTTAAATTAAAAGAATTACATTCAGCAGAGATAAAATAGAGTTACAAATTAGTGCAAATTCTTATTTATTATTCATTAAATATATCAGGTTAGTGTTGTTTTTCTAACAAAGTTGTTTTCTACGGGATGGAAATGCTGACTCCACGTCCAACTCTCCTGTTTTGTGTGGGCTTTGGATTGTCAGTAACCTTAGACAAGCTACAGGCGGAGAATTACTACAACCATCAAGAAAATAATACACGTATTTATAAACAATTGTCTATACAAGATAATCAATATCCGTTGACCGGATATCATCAGCAACAATTTACTGTGAGAGAGAACAAACCAACTTCCAGTTGAAGAGGGAATTAGGAGAAGACGATCGAGATGAATAAGACACACATTGAGGAAATCACTAAATTGCATCATGAAACAAGTACTAATTTGTAATCCTGAAGGGAAACGAAAAAAGAGGAATACGAAAGAACACACTGTGTTGAGAATTGAAAGCACACATTAGAAGGATGAATAGCAACTGTAAACAACTGGAGAGGATTGCTTAGAATAAAGTTGGATGGAGGATCCTTTTTAACCGCAAATGCTCCTCGAGGATAGGTTACAAGTGTAAGTAAGTGAGATATAACGAGTATTCTCATAGTAATCAAATTTCTTCACTGTGTATCTAGGAATCATTGATTAAAACAGAAAGCTGATTGACTCTTTACGTAAGAATATTTTTACAGTTATTGTATTCTATGAGGTTAATTTGCAATAATTATGAAACATAAATTAATATTTCCTATATTATTCTACTTAAAAAATATAGGTTGTTACAGCTCCTTGGGTTCGTGGTTCAACATCACCAGTTGTTTACCCAACTCCATGTAACTATCCCACTATATATAATACAGGTGTTAACCGTTCAAGAGGTTGTATAGCAAATCCTAATGCTTGTTGGTCACCTACAACTACTTTATGTAAATCACCTATTTCTAATCATGAAAATGAACGAAAATGTATGCAAACACCAACTACAATGTATCATTCATCACCATCACATGGATTTAGAATATTACCAACATTTGGTATTACTAGTAGTTGTGTTGGTGTTGGAAATAATCGACTATTCGATTCCCCCGTTTCAAGTGTAAATCCATCATTCTCTGGACTACCTAATGGTTTTATTCTTCAAAATTATAATTTACGAGATGAAGATGATGATGATGATGATAATAATGAAGGTAATGGAATATTTCATGATATAACACCAAATAATGAAATAAATAATAAAACTATTAAAACTAATGATGAAAGACAAAATTTGAAAAATCCTAAATCAGAACAAATCTTTTCAAAATCATTAGCGAATAATCTTCATTGTCAAAATAAATTACCTGAAACAGATATGATAAGATCATTTTCATCATTAAAACGAACAGCTATTAGTCTTGAAGAGATCAATGATTACAAAGATGAAACAAATTCTAAAAATTGTAAGTTTTATAAAAGAATTCGTTTTTTCTTATTAATCAAATTGAAAGTTAAGTATTTCTATTGAACTTTGAACATAATGACGATTAAAAGTATAATTAGTCAAGGAAGTTCTACTCACTGTGATCTCACGGTGAGGGTGTTGTTTACGAAATTGAGAAGACGAAAAGCGAATGTCCAGCGCTTTAACCACCGGGTTGGTGGATACGGAGATTCCACCTAAAGCAGTTGGAAAATCCTGATTCCAAATCAATGGTGCCTATAGGCTCTAATATCCTGAAGGAACCAATGGCGTATGAACCAATCGTTGTTCACCGACTACCATGTTACTGTATCTCCTAACATTGCTCCACTGCCTCGTAGATTAGACCTTCTTGTCCAAGGCTCTGGATGTGGCCCCCTAAGGAAACCACCTGTTTCGGTTTTGGCACCCTAGGAATATCCGAACTCTTACACAAATCGAATTATTTATGTGGCGCATATCTTTTTGTGGCCCCTTGTACTAATGTCTATGTGTTTAAATAAATAAATAAATAAATAAATAAATAAATAAATAAATAAATAAATAAAACGTCTAATAGCAAAGATTAAGGGTTACAATAAAGTTCCATATTTAAAAATGTGAAACTTTGTTTAATTTTCAATTTTTGAAAACTTTCTCCTTAATAAACTTTTAGAGGCCTGTTGTGTTCGCTTGTGGTGGCGGGCTCATCATTTTAGTGGCCCGTGATCTGACTCCAATTTGATCGTAATGATTGGTTGCTATCGTCTATCCTCGTATATAATCATTGACTTAAATCGCGTTAGTTAATAACGGAATTAAATAAGTCAAATAACGAGAATGGAGTTTTGAATGCATATATTTTGTATAATTGTTGATTAGACAAACGAACGGAGGAACGATGCGAAGATGAGAAAGCGAAGCAAAATTGACGAGCGGTGAAGATGGCTGGTAAGCCAACTCCCCCTTTAACAAAGAGTTAATCGATATTTATAAGCACACAAAAATAAATTACAGACATGTGATGAGTAACGGGATAAGACTTGTACATACGCCTACGCGCTCATACAAAGACAGTCAAGATATTGATAAGGGAATCATTAACAAGGTCAGAATGTGACTCAAATAGGATGGGCTGTCAAAAAGTTAGAATAATAAGGTATTTGGGCTTAACATAATGACAGACACTACAAACTTAAACAACGAATAATGTGACTGTTTCACAATCACAATAGGATGAAACGGCCGTCCAGTGCTTCCAAGTTTTTAATGATGATCTAACATCAATCGCTTCATGATCTGAATCGAAAACTTAATAATTTTCACAAAACTATACTAACTATTTAGTTAGATGTTCAAGTGTCCTAATAAATGATAAGCACATTCAGTCTTGAACTCAATACCTTTCTCTTAAAATACCGACTCATTATTATTATTAGTGGCTTTATTCAATATTATATTTTTGGTACAATATAGAATTCTCAGCACGAAGTATTTCAACAAGTTTCCCTTTCTTATTTCTCAATCAGTTCCTTGCAATAAATATTGAGTGGTCGCCACTTAGATGTTAGCTGTTCAAGAATCGACATCTGATAAATGTATATCCTTTTCGATGCATATTGCCAGTAACCATGTTGTCTCTGATTGAGCTCTTTTGTAACTTGTACAGCGAAATGTCGTAAACTTTTCACAAACGCACCTGAATAGGTTATGAGACTAATAGGCATAAAATGATGTGTTAAAACAAACAAAAAACAGATAACTTGTTGAAATATCCAGATGGCAGGAACAGGTAGCCCAGATATTCAAGTAGGCCGCCTATTCACTAAAAATTACTAAATCCATTAAAACCACTAGGTTTTATACATTCATAGCCAAGGAATCAATTATTTGTTATGAAATAAATATATATGAATTACTAACAGGTATTAAATCAATAGCTTAACAACTCTGGAATAGACAGAAAAGTGAATATTTAATTTTAATTTACTTGAAATACTTTAATCAGCATCAGTTATTATTGAACATAATGAAACCGCCACTGAACCAATCAAATTTACCATAAATTTTTGTATTTTAATTAAAACATTTTTTTTCTTTAACGAATAAATAGAAAAAGATTCAATTCAAATGACCTTGGTTAAACATGGCAGAATTTTTTTTAAAAAAAAAGAATGATTACAATAAATGTTCAATTTTATTCATCATTTAATATTTATTTATTTATTTACGCCTGTTACTCCCAATGGAATATAGGCCGCCAACTAACATTCTCTAACGCACTCTGTCCTGGGTCTTCCTTTTTGTAATTCTATCCAATTGTTGTTTATTTTATGCATCGTTTTAATAGATGAAATGAATCTCAACATGTGTGTATAAACACCAAATACCATTGTCATAAATGTATATGAAAATCAATGAAGAAAACATTTCACAACTGTATGTATCTTCCCCTTTTACAGAATAAATAATTAGCTTCATATGTAATTCAAATATAATAGAAAAGAACTATTCATAGTAATGCTAATTATAGATTATATTCATCGAATTAATTCAGCGGTAGTAACTTGATAGTAAACTATGAAAGTATATATAAATAATTTATTTATGTATTTATTATTAATATGAGAATGTGTTTTGTGGATACGATAGTAATTTCAATGGTTGAGATCATGAGTGAATTAAAGCTAGACCATTATGGAAAACCCGAAAGCATTGGAAAGTTGATTTGTCTTATTGTGAGACTTCTCATTAGTGAGCATCCACGATCCTGCCTCGCAAGATTTTAACCCATGTCCTATCAGTTTCGCGTGCGAACGCTTAATCATTAGACCCCTGTGTAAGCTTCCAACGTTGTTAATGTGTAACTTCAACTACTTCACGAAATTGAGCGACACATCCACCATTGTCTTTAGTGAATTATTATCTCACAACAGACCTGGTTGAATTCCACTGGTTACTGCTTCTCAGTAGATTTCCAGGAAATATCTCTTGAAGCCAGTCACTAGTGAGCACATGTTGATTAATATCAGAAAGGGTTTTTTGTGGATATTATAGTAATTTTAATAGTTCATGGATGCGCACTGCTGAGGATTTTTAAAATAGGACAAAACGGCCATCAAGTGCTCCCAGGTTTTCCATGATGGTCTAACATCAATCGGTTCATGATCTTCATCAAAAACACAATAATCTCTGCAAAACTATACTGAAAATCATTTACAGGAGGGAGAAGTGCATTTCAAACATTTTTCGCATTTATGCCCAGTCCTACCAGAAAAAGACTCTGCATTTTATCAACGTCTTCAACAAACAGGACTTTATCATCTGCGTATTCTAACTCGATAAGTTAAACATGGCTAAACATGGAAAAATCACTCAGCATGTGTGTATAAACACCAAATACCATTGTCATAAATGTATATGAAAATCAATGAAGAAAACATTTCACAATTGTATGTATCTTCTCCTTTTACAGAATAAATAATTAGCTTCATATATAATTCAAATATAATAGAAAAGAACTATTCATAGTAATGCTAATTATAGATTAATATTCATCGAATTAATTCTACGGCAATAACTTGATAAAAACTATGTATTTATTACTATTTGATCATATAATCCTTGGTACAAAGGGGCACTGAATATATATGTGCCACACAGTAACAATGAAATTGTAGAGAGATAGAGAATGTAAAGTGAATATAATAGAAGAAAGAAAATAAACAACAACAATGAACGAAAATAAGTATATGAGTGTGAAGTAATAATAATGAAAAAAGCAATTCAGTTGATAAAAATATAACGAGAAGGATATCTTTCAGTTATAGAAGTTACATTCATTTTTTTATGAATAAAATCACAGCTGGATTACCATTGGTTTCTATTTTGAACCATATTTGGTAACATCTCTAGCCACTGTGTTACATCATCTCTAGGATTCTAACCAGCCAATCTCAAAGGACCAATGGAAGACAGTCCTGTACAGAATTCTTTCATACCACGACAATATTTCATACATTGACTACCTCTCCTCTTTTTCCAACAGGTTTAAGTGTCGACAATTAATGAACGGTATAGGATTCTCTGAGACGACTTTCATAAGACATACTCGAGTCTTCGAAATCGATGTTTAAGGTTGATAACAACACGATGCCGAACCTCTGCATTACTAACATGTTGTTGCACATCTGCGATGACTGTGTTGGTAGTTAGTGCTTTCCAGAAACAATATAGTCTGCGCAAATTTTCAGTAAACGGTTACTTGTGACTAACAAGTCCCTATAGGCCATCTAAATGGCTCTTCTGTGTCTAGACGCGCGATCTGAGCATTCCAGTCTCCGGCTGGTACTACAATATCTATAGAAAAGCAGTTAGCTGGTGATAAAACTGATGCTTGACCATATCCGGGCTGCAATCTGTCGGAGTGTAAGCGGAAATGATGAAAAGACTTCGGTTCTCACACCGATTTCTTCGCAGTATGATCGAGCTTTCTAATCTAACAGCATATAACTGACTGCTGATGGGGATCCAATCGATCAGTGTCGCCTCAGCTCTAGCGCTTAGTACGACAACAACGCCAACAAAACCAGACGAAGATGCCACATGGTTACCGGATAAACGCACGTGAAACAAGTTTTTCAAAGCAAAAGATGAAGAGCCAATATGTAGCGGTTCACGGGATCTTGATTACGGGTCTCGGATAGATAAAAGACGTTGAGACTAAGGCATTCTAAAGACTTAGACAACCCCAACTGTTGTCCAATATACATTAGTGAGCGAACATTTGAAGGAAGTCAGTCTGAATAATATTCGTGGTTTCAGAAAGACTGTTTCAGTATTCGTATTCGGTGGTAGCATTCAAATTTCGACCATAGAGTGACTCAAGATCGTTTAGATAGAACAGGGTTTCCACTATATGTGGATTGCTGTATAACTTGAAAAATAAGGGTGAGAATAGAAGAGAGTGAGAACGAATGTTACCAAATGATTGTGAATGTGATTTATCTGAATGAACTTTGAGGCAATAGTAATTTTCTCTGTATCAATTACCGTTTGTTCTGTCACTGAGTTGAAATACTGTCCGGACGCACAAACTGAAGCAGGTGATTTTCTTAGGGAGCCATGCTTCGAGCCTTCGATCTAAAGGTCTGGTCCATAAGGCAGTGGAGAAACGTTAGGAGATGAAGTCCTATAGTAGTCGGTGACCAACTGTAGGTTCATATGCCATCTGTTTCCTCAGGATCCTGGAACCCATGTTCACCATTGGTTTGGAATCAGGATTTTCCGACTCCCCTAGGTGTATTCTCCGTACCCATCAACCCAGTCAAAGAGCCGGACATCCACTTTTCGTCCTGTCAATTTCGTAAACAACACCACCGGGAGAAGGCAGTGATTAGGACTTCATGGGCATCACTAAACTTTCCAGAAATAGTGAGAAACCTAATTAGTCTAAATTGTAAATGCTTCAGAGTATCCAGTCGCCAATATTTTAATTAAGATTTGGTTAGTTTTAGCTATAGTTTATACGTCCCGTGTAGCCATAATAACATAAGTTTACATAGAATATATGGGATATGGCTAGTAATAGGATTCAGAATAGGTGTTTCATCCTATTCAAGGCTCTTCAGATGAATGTACCTACATCACATAGCTAATATCCTCCCAGACATTTGAACCCAGTACTTTTCTCTGTAAATGGGATAATCCAAACCGTTACAAATTAAATTTAAATTCGTGCCGGTTGCACAAGTGAATAGCTGTCCGAACTTTGTAGCTAAGGGATAATGCGTTGGTGTTTAAAATTAAGGTTACCTGGTTTAAATATGGAATTTAGCATCAACCCTGATATGTAGATTCATTTAACTAATAAGTCTGAAGAACAGAACCAATCGTACAAACTAAATTCTACTGCTAACTGTTCAACATTCATTAATAATGACTTAAAGTCATATTTGTCTAAATTTATATTATACAATCCGTAAACTATTGATTGGGAATCATATGAAACATTTTTGTTCTTAGTTTTTTGACCAACTTTAGCATTTTCTGTCAAACATGATTTTAAGTAGACATCCTTTCTAATTAATGTGCGTCTATCAGTTTACTTGCTCATGTGGAGCAGGTTATATATGTTGCACAAAGCAAGTTTTTGACAATACATCTCCAAACATTAACCTATCTGTCTCTCCGAAGGATTACAGAAGTCAATCAAAAGTTCACTCTTAGAGCTTCACCAGAAGCCTTCTTCAAAATCATGCATATAGTCAGAAGGGTTGGCTTAATAGGAATATAAATAAAAAACTTATGTGTAGCATAAGCTATTGCTGTCCACCAGTTTAAGCCAAACCTTTGCGTATAAAAAGGCTATTTTCAATCCCTAATTCTTCCGTAGACTTAACCTTCTTTTCAATCTTCCATAATTGATCGTTTTTTTTATTTATTTTATCATTTCTAATCCTTCCCAATAATTGTCTCAATTCTTAACATTTGTATAGATTTTAACATTGTTAAGATCTTTACATGAAAATTTTATAAGAAATATAGCTACATTTTAGTGTTTAAACCGAAGAAAGATTAACTTCCATCTAGGAAAACAGTAGCGAATCTTATATGTTTTACGTCTGTTCCAGACTATTTGTAATGACTTCTAGATGACTACATTAATCTTTAGGTTTGTAGCGAACATTTTAAACCAATTGTCACAAAGACAATCATTTCCTTAATTCGAAAATCTTATTTGACAATATTTGAGATAACAACTGAAAGATCAAATAAGATACACTCTAAACCCTATACTTGTTTCTGAACACGAAGAAGCAAATCTTCTCAAATCACTGATTTCTAGTAATCTCTTGGTGTTCAAGTCATCTTAATGTCTATATTAAAAATCAACTGTTTATAACATAGTAAAATTAATTTTTATATAAACATCATATATGTATATATATCTTTGCCCTGACTGTTTTCATCAAACGTTTTCAATTGCATGTTCATTGTGATCATTACTACAATTATCATCATAATCATGAAAAAATTTCACTTCTATACTGTATTTTATTTAAACATGTTTTTACTCTTCTGGTCATACGTCGCTTCCTTGAAGTATATTTCTCTTATCCCCTCCTTATATGATCCTAAATGGAACATTTTTAAAGCAGTAATCATTCTATCCTAGTCTAGAACATGTCAGTAGTGGAGTAAAACCATGTTCATTATGAGACAGTTATCCACCATAGTCAGTAGAATATGGTCGCGAACTATCGTTTGCATTTGCGTGTGAGACTGTAGCTCCTGAATTCGATTCCTACATAAAGGATTATGGTTGTGCGTTTCTAAGAAGACCCACACTGGGATGGAACGGTCAATCCTTATTTACAATGAAAGTTATGATTGTTAATTCCTAATTTCATTATATAAAATTACATTTAAAAAATGAAGTTTGAATTATATCCATCATATTTATTCCATGTTTAAATTGCACATATTTTTTTAATAATCTTATAGATAGTCGTTTAGTACGTTTCCAGTTAGCACAAGGTGATTTACATGAAAATGATCCTGTGCACAATATACCTATATCATCTAGAAATGAATATCAAACTTTAACATCATTTCATCGTGGTGATGATGATAGACATTTAAATAAAACATCACCATTATTTTGTAGTTGGATAAAATCTGATCAACAACAACAACAACCGATTGAATCCTTCCTAAATCCATATGATCAATTAAATTGTAAAACACAATTGAAATCATCCAAACCAAATAATAATAATAATAATAGTGGGAAACAAAATCATACTACTACAACTAATAATAATAGTGGCGGCTGTGGTGGTGGTGGTGCTGGTGCTGGTGGTAATAGCAACAATAATAATAATAATAACAATGGTAACAATCATACTATATTCCCAGAATTTTTTCAATTACAACCATTGACACATTCACAATTAACTGATAATCATGATACACCATCATGTGAGAATTTATGTCAATCGGATGATTTTTACATGTCGACAATCAAATCCAATAAGAAATGTGTTAATAATAACGATATACTATTCGCTAACAATACTAATACTAATAGTAATACTAATAATAATAATAATAATAAACTAATGCCTACATTGAATAAATGTAATATATTCAATAATAATCATTCATTAACACATTATCCAACAACCATGGAATGTACACATAATAATCTATCAAATTGTAATCTTACTACAAATGATTTAAATAAATCACCAAATAAATTAATAGAAGAGAAAAAAATTAAAACAACACGTCAAACAAAAATGGTTACTTTGATTTCACCAAAGAAAGATTCATCAGTAATAGTTAATAATAATAATAATAATCATAATCATAATGATATGAATGAAATGCATAACTTATATGATGATAATAAAGGAAATACTAATATAAATAAATCATTAAATGCTGAAGGTAGTTTTGTTTAATGTCATAGTAACAAAATGATAATGATTTTATTTAGGTTTATTCATTCTCTCTTTCTTTCTTTATATATATATATATATATATATATATATATATTTAAATATAAAATTATGTAATTAGAAATGCAATTTTTAAAAAGAGAAAAAAAATGCCTTTTTTTCTCTTCATTTTACTTCTCCACCTCCACCCCCAAAAAAGACACACACATACACACACGCACTAATTTATACACCTATTGCATTAAGCTCATCTTCCCTCTTTTTTTATTCTCTCGTTCTTTTAAATGAAATCGATTTGAATTTACACACGTCACCGATTCAATGTCCAATGCGTAAAATTTAAAAATTACTTCTAGCTGTTACTATATATATATATATATATATATATATATATATCCATTAATATGATTATAAAAATTTTTTAAAAGAGATTCCATTTTAAAAATGTAGACATTTCAATAATTCCATTATGTAATTATTTACTACATAGAAATTAAAAATATTGTTTATTATCGTATTGTATTATATTGTAATAATCAAAATTACCAATATAGCAAAGTGTTGTACAATGCTGGTCAACGGCCTATACTCCATTTGAGGGGTAACAGGCCTAAGTTATATATATATATAAACGTTTTTTTACTTTAATTACTTGTATAGATATAAAAAAAACCAACATTTATTTCTTTTACAAGACAATATTATCCTGAAATCATTTTTATTTTGTAAAACCTTCAAAACTGTTCTAGTAATCTGTTCAAACATTTCAACGTTCATCTTGAATAAATTTTGCAAGAACTCATTCATAAATACATATATTTACTTGAAAAATATCGTGAATGAATCAATAACAACAACAACAACAAAACTCCTAGATGATCTATTAAAGCTTCTAATTTCTATATAAAATGATTCGTTTGTATTATTTAAACTTGAATTCATTTTTAACGGATTATTTATTCTTTGAAGAAGTAGCTTATATTGAGTTACGAAACATTGGAAAATTTAAATTTCTTTTTTACTCATATGGAATATTACAAATATATTACTTAATTAATATCTTTGTTGCATTTATAATTTTCATCATTAACCCTATTGTTATTATTATTAGGCTATGTTTAATTAACAATTGAACATATATAATGTTATTAACAATGTTACATTATGACGTCATTAAGATTTGAAGTATTACTTATTGCTGTATATATTGTTTATTAATAAGATATGAGTAAGGTTGTTTTCTTTTTTAATTTTTATTTGTAAATAAAATGTAAATTGATTGTATTTCAATAAAGTAATTACATGTCTTATATATTGGTTACTTGGTTACTTGAATGAATGACCAAGCACAATAGTATTATACAATGAACGAACCTTTGGAATAAAGTGTTTCTGACATATTTCGCTCTTATTCTCTTGTGTTCAAGTTGCTGTATAGATCTAACCTGTGAATTACTAGAAAAGCTTAGGAATCAATTAACATGACTTATCATTATTTGATAATTTGCCTTCATTCTTCTTGTTCTTCTTCAATGAAATGTATGGGGTTGTTTTATTTTGTTATTTTACAAATGTGTTCATGATAATATTAGGCACCCAAAATGAATTAGTTTATATTTTTTTTATCGAAAATAGTTTGTTTTAAGATAGAAAAGTTCGGTTATACACCTTGAAAAGCTTACAGTTCATATAGAACTTATATTTTAGCTAATATATTCTTGAGTAAGATGTCTAATGTATTGATAGGTGAATAAGTGATCACGGAGTATAGTTTCACTTCAAATTGCCTGAAATTAATCTTATGGTATAACTTTACTGTAAACTAGATATGTAATAATATACAATTATATTTCTGTGTTTAATTACTCAACAACTCAGATATTGTATGCACTTCAATAGAAAGTCTTAACAAACATTATGGTAAGTTTACGTAAGGCATTCTAATTACTTAATAGTGAAAGGTAACCATCTAGTCTAATAATCATTTAGTCTTTTTAGGTAATTTGTAGAAATACTAATGAACAGTGGGTTTAAAAGTTCACAAATATTATAAAGCTTCAAATCTGGATATTATAGAACAGAAAGAAATAAGAGAACATTAAGGTAACAAATCTCCTAGAAAAGCAATATCAGTACTTACTTACTTCTTTACTTAAGCCTGCTACTCCTCCTCGAGAAGCATAGGCCGCCAACAAACACTCTCCATACAACCCTATCCCAAACAATACTTTCCAGTTCTTTCCAGTTGTTATTCATTCTTTTCATATCTACTTCTATTTCCCGACGTAATGTGTTCTTTGACCTTCCTCTTCTCCGCTACCCATCACTATTCCAAGTTAGGGTTTCCGTAATGTAAGTACTATACACTAACTCGATTGTCTCTTCCTGATTTCTTCATCAGCTGGAAGCTGGTTTGTTCTCTCTCACAGAAGGCTGTTGCTGATGGTATCTGGCCAATGAATGTTGAGTACCTTGCGAAAACATCAGTAGATGTCATCAATATGGTAGAAATTAAAACTATGGATTATACGAATTAGTTTAAATCTACTATGTAGAATATATATGTGAAATTTTATGATAAGTTTTTGAAAATATTTATCTACACTTTTAATTCCATGCTATCAATACAATAGAAATATTTGTTTACTGATAGAACAAAGCATTCTTACACGTCAAATTTTTAATATTGAAAATTTTAGAATAAATTATAAGCGAAGATGGCTAGTCGTTAGCAGGGGAATCCAGGACGCACGTTTCGTCCCATTTGAGACTCTTCAGCTAGGTGTACCTGCATCTCAGGGTTAATGTTCATTCTGGGACCCCAACCCAGTACCGTTCACTTCAAATGCCATCTCACATTCGTCAGTATGAAACTGATCAATTCCAATCTTAAATAACAATGGGGAGATACATGTAAACAACATTAAGTGAATTTAGGATAAATTTGTTTTTAACTATTCACTAATAATGTTCATGTTACCTTAATGCTGACGTTTTCTTGAAAGTTTATTTTTAGAACGATCATAAATATTATTGTTCGAGTCACGGAATGAATATCAACACTGGGACTCAAGTATATCCAGATGACAAGTCCTATTTGGAATGACACACGCGTATTGGGATTCCACTGTTAACTACCAATCATCTTCACTTATAATGCTTATAACCTAAGGTAGTATTGAGGCAATTCGCCAATAAGAGACTAATCAATTTTAGTCGTAAATAATAATGAGAAGATTCAAGTAAACAAAAGAAAGTGAATTGATTATGCTTTTTGTTTGAACGTTACAAAAAATTGACACTTTATATAAACCTAATACATTTTTCCATGAACTTTGGAAAATTATAGTCTGTTGACACAGTTTATTAAAAAAGATTATCAGTTAAGAAATACATATGTGTAATATAAATTAATCTTAGGAGGTTACAAGTTGTTACTTCCTTGATCCGTCTACCTAATAATATACAGTAGAGAAGTTATCTCGATCTAGATTAAAACTTTGACACGATAGACTAACTGACTTAATTTTGAGACTAGAATATGTGAGTCCGAATTGAAACTAACTAACTTGGTTAAAGAAACGAGAACTATTCTATCACTTGATTGGTTGACAAGCGAAAGAAGACCAGCTAAATGGAACATTACTCGATTTATTCCGGCTTTCGATCCCCAATTTCGATTCGGATTGAACACATCAATAAATAGATGACATAACATAGCCACAACGTACAAGCTATTGTAAAAACATAGTTATGCCCAAACTGGGCATTAGGATAGAAAAATAGAGTACTAAAGTCATTATATGTGAAATTATATTTGAAATAATCTCAGCGATTGAGATTTAAAATAATTCCAACGTTTCGTACAACAAACTTGTCTGGACTTTTTCAAGGTAATAAACAAAATCAAAATCATCAAATAAGCGAACAAGAACAGCCTGAACCGATAGGATGGTATTGAACCAGAAACTACTTGAAAAATATTCGTTGACAAGTAATTGGACCCTTTCTTTTTTCAACTCGTTTATTGCACATTCATCGTTATTTTGACTGAAATTAATGTGAGTTATATTTTGTATATGAAGCAAATAGAATCGAGAGAAGCGAAACGACGCGCAGTGAAGATGGCGGGTAAACCAACTCCCATTTAACCAAACGTTATTCAATATTTATAGTTACACAAAAATAAGTTACAGACATATGATCAGCAATGGGATAAGAAGTGTACACACACCTACGCACTCATATAAAAACAGTCATGGTTGATAAGCGAATAATTAACAAGGTCAGAACGTTGTGACTCAAGTAGAATGAATAGAATGGGCTGTTCGAAAGCTAGAATAAGGGTATATAGGCTTCACATAATAACCGACACTACACATTATTATCGAATACATTTTACAAAGTACACACACACACACATTTCATAATTCTAACAAATAAACAACTTTAGGAGAAAAAAAAAAGCCAATTATGTTTAAAATTAAATGAAAATGGTACAGTTTATCATTACTGGTATTATTTTTACTAACAACGTCATTTGTGTGATCTTTATGTAAGATGAAAACGTTTAAAGTACAAAATGAATTAGAAAAATTTTTTTATTGATTATAAAGTACATGGATACAGTTTCGGTTACAACATTAACGCAACAAAAACAACACAAACAATGTAATTTATAATTTCAATGACATTTAATAGAAACATATCAAGTAATTACATATAACTTCATTGAGAGTAACTTAATTTGGAGTGTTTTTTTTCCAAAAAAAAAGACATTAACATTTATTAGTGAAAAATCATTTTTATTATAAATTCATTTGATATTGTTTTACTTGGATCTTCACATTGATGTTTAGAACTGTTATTGATCAGTCTCTTATTAGCATATATACATGCTGTACGTATTACCTTGATATTGCCTGACATCACAAGCTTTATAGTTCAGTCAGTCAGTCAGTAACAACGTGGAACTTCGTACGTACGTACATCAGTTCGAGTTGCTATACCACATTAGCACAGAGATGCAGTTGTCGATATAAATCCCTTAGTAGAGGAGGTAGTAATAGCACAAGCAGTAATCGGAGA